TTGTATGTTATGTGTTATATGTGCTATGTGTTTTTCCGTGTTATCATCTTGTGTTATTATTTCTGCTATTTTGATAGCAAAGTTGTACCTTTGGCCATGTGATCAGTGAAAGGACTTAGATTCACAGTGGTATTGGTATGTAGCCTCTAGCCGTGTAGAGCATGTCTCGCATGAGAATGACTTCTACCCCTATGGCATTGGCAGAAGGTTAGATAGGGCTAAAAGCCTGAAATCTACCAAAATGTTTAATCATAAATTGTATGTCATCTGTGTCATTTGGGCCGAAGCGTTGTTGATGTATATCAAGTATTGAAATTGTTATGTCTCATTGATTGTTATGGAAAGCATGTCGCATGATTCACATATGCCTTTGTTGTTCCTTGTTTCCCTTTTTCTGCCATATTGAAGTATATATATGGCATAACGTTATATTGTATCTATTATTGAACTCACTAAGCGTCACCGCTTACCCCTCTCAGTGTTTAACAATTACAGGTAATGAGAATCCAGTATAGTCATATACTGTTGGAAGATTTAGAGTAGTTTATGCTATTACTTTTGTACTTGGGTTTATGTATGTATAAAACTATAATATCCTGGGTAGTTATTTAATAAATATAACACTTTGTAATATACTAAAAATTAGTCGGTTTGTATCCAGTCTTTTGTAATTACACTATCAATGTAAAATATTATTTATAAATATGCATGTAGCATGTTTTGGAGTAACAATATTGTGAAGTATGAAAGTTTGGTTCTGTCAGAAATACGAAAGTTTAGAAAGGGGTTCTTTCAAGCACCGATTTTTTTCGTCAAGAAGAAGGATGGTTCACACCGGATGTGCATTGATTACCAGGAGTTGAACAAGTTGACGGTGAAGAACCGTTATCGCCTTCCGCGGATGGATGACCTCTTCGATTAGATGCAGGGTGTGTCTTGTTTCTCCAAGATCGAATTGAGGTCAGGGTATCATCAGATGATGGTAAGAGAGGGGGATGTGGAGAAGACCGCGTTTCAGACTTGTTATGGTCATTATGAGTTCGTGGTGATTCCATTTGGGCTCACCAATGCGCCTGCGGCTTTTATGGATTTGATGAATCGGGTATGCAGGCCGATGATTGATCGATCAGTCATTGTTTTCATTAATGATATATTGGTGTATTCCAAGACCAGGGAGCAGCATGAGGAGCACCTTCGAGAGCTTCTGGGAGTGTTGAGGCGAGAACGGTTGTGTGCCAAGTTCTCGAAGTGTGAGTTTTGGTTACGAGAGGTCCAGTTCTTGGGACATATCGTTAACCCAAACGGGATTTTGGTTGATCCTGCCAAGATTGAGGCCATGATGTAGTGGGAGGTTCTGAAGTCTCCCTCGAAGATCAGGAGTTTCTTGGGTTTAGCTGGATATTATCGGAGATTTATTCAGGGTTTCTCCAAGATTGCAGTACCCCTCACTCGTCTGACGAGGAAGTGCGTGGATTTTTGGTGGGGCCCGAAGCAGTGAGTGGCATTTGAGACTCTGAGACATAAATTGTGTGAGGCCCCAATGTTGACCCTCCCCGAGGGTGTTGAGGTTTTTGTGGTGTTTTGTGAGGCATCCATCACGGGTTTGGGCGCAATGCTCATGCAGCGTGGGAGAGGTATTGCTTATGCTTCTTGGCAGCTGAAGCTACATGAGGTCTGTTATCCGACTCATGATTTGGAGTTGGGGGCAGTAGTCTTTGCTCTCAATATTTGGCGGCATTACTTGTATGGGGTTCGGTGTATTATCTACACGGATCATAAGAGTTTGAGGTATCTTATGGACTAGCCGAACCTGAATATGAGATAGCGTAGGTGGCCTGACGTGGTCAAGGATTATGACTTTGAGATTCTGTATCACCCTGGGAAAGAGAATGTGGTCGCTGATGCTTTGTGTCGCAAGACGGCTAGTTTTGCTATTGGGAGTCTATATATGAGGATATTTATTGACTATCTGCTTTTTGATATGATTAGGGAGGCTCGGGCCGAGGGAGTCAAGAAGGAAAATTGGAAACAGGAGAGACTCAGGGGTGAGATTGACAGGTTTTCTACTGACAGTCGGGGATAATTGACCCGATATAAACGGGTTTGGGTGCTAAATTTTGGCGGGGTCAGACAAACTGTGTTGGATGAGGCACACAAGTCCAGGTTTTTGATACACCCCGGAGCCATCAAGATGTATCGGGATTTGAGGCTTAGTTATTGGTGGTCGTGCATGAAGAAAGAGTTAGTCTGGTACGTTGAGAGGTGCTTGACTTGTCGGATGGTCAAGGTCGAGCACCAGAGGCCGCATGGAAAGTTGCAGTCGTTGGAGGTTCCCATATGGAAATGGGAACATATTACTATGGATTTCATCACCAAGTTACCTCGGACGGCTAAGGGGCTCGATGCAATTTGGATGATAGTGGATCAGTTGACCAAGAGTGCCCATTTCTTAGCTATTCGCGAGAGCTCGTCGGCCGAGAAATTGGCCGACATGTATGTACGCGAGATCGTTGCTCGGCATGGTATTCCAGTCTCCATTGTATCTGATCGAGATGTTAGGTTCACATCTTGTTTCTGGCATAAGTTCCACGAGAAACTGGGTATGAGGTTTCATCTCAGCACTGCTTATCATCCACAGGCGGACGGTCAGAGTGAACAGACCATTCAGACACTTGAGAACATGTTGAGAGCTTGTGTCATTGATATTGGTGGGAGTTGGTACTCCTACCTTCCCTTAGCTGAGTTTTCGTACAACAACAGCTACCACTCCAGTATCGGTGTGCCACCTTTCGAGCTCCTCTATGGAAGGAAGTGTCGCACCCCAGTGTGTTGGGGAGAGGTTGGTCATAGAGTTATGGGAAGAACTGAGGTAGTTCTTCAGACGACAGAGCTCATCCACAGATCAGACAGAGACTTCAGACAACTCAGAGTTAGCAGAAGAGTTATGCCGACAAGCGGCGATCCGAGTTGGATTTCCTGGTCGGAGACACGGTTTTACTGAAGGTATCACCCTGGAAGGGTGTAATAGGCTTCAGGAAGAGGAGTAAGTTGGGGCCCTGATATATTGGTCCATTTCGGGTGATAGCCATGGTTGGCAAGGTAGCATACACATTGGAGTTGCATGAGGAGCTTAGCCAGATCCACAACACCTTCCATGTGTCTCAGCTTCGGAAGTGTGTGGCTGATGATTCAGCATTCGTTCCTTAGGAGGATGTTCAGATTGAGGATCGTATGAGTTACATTGATATGTCGGTGGCGATCTTGGATCGGAAGACGAAGGCTCTATGCAAAAAGGTGGTGATTTTGGTCAATGTTTAGTGGCGACATCGGAAGGGTTCCGAATGGACATGGGAACCCGAGTCTGAGATGCGGGAGCATTACCCAGAGTTGTTTACAACAGCGGACTTCGAGGACGAAGTCTAGTTCAAGTGGGAGAGAATTGTAACATTCCGATGATGAGGTAATTTCAATTTTAACACTAAGTGTGAAGGTTAATTTCATTTTAGCCCTTATGTAAGGAAAATGTTTCAAAATGGCCAATAGTGGCATTTTTGTAATATTTGGGTCATGAGCACGTACGATGGGCGTACCTATGGTACGATGGGCATACGTGGTGAAGTCCCAAACCCTAAATTTTAGGGTTTGGACCCAATTTAATCGTCTTTATGGCCTCCAAACCTCTTCTCTATCAGCCTCCATCACCCCCATTCGACCTTAGTAAACCCTAGTTCCTTGTTTAGGCATTCTTGATCTTTGGTGTACATTTTTATGGCTTTGAAGAAGATGGAAGGAAGTGAAACCACCTTGGAAGCTTGAAGAAGCTTTGGATCCGGAATCTCCAAGAGGTATAAAGTTCTAAGCTTGGCTTGAATTTCTTTAGATCTTGTTAGTTTTGATTCATGAAGCATTTTGGTCCCAAGCCTTGACCTTTATGAGTATGGCATGCTCTAGCCCATGTAAGTTGTCCTTTTAGACGTTTTGAGATGTATAGAAGCATAAAAATGTGATCTTGGCTCTTAGTTTTCCCCCATGCATGTGCTAGGATGTCCTAATGGATTGAGGAGTTAGGGTTTGTTGGTATTAAGCACTTCTAGCCATGAAAACTCATAAAGTAGGAAACTTTATGACTTATAATGTTATTTTGGGCTTAGATCTGGTTTTGGACGTAAGGAATTGATGTATTAAGCTCTTAACGAGAGATGGGGCGGACCAGGTGCGTACGTTGGGCGTACCAAATGGTACATTGCGCGTATGCGGTCAAAGCCCCGACTTTTGGGTCAAGCAGAGTACTCCCCGCATACAAATGAGTATGCTCAGCGTACTCGACGGCAATGTGAAGCCTCGAGCATTTCCAAGCCTTGCTGAGCCACGTCGTTGTAAGACGTGGCTTAAGGCGACAATTTTGTATATAATTAATATTTTTATATGTATTTTCAACTATTATTCATTTTTATACAAATATATGGGTTAAGGCGGCGTTTTGGTAAAATTTGGAAGCAGGTACAAGCGTTGGCGTCATGGCGAGCTTTTTAGAACCTTGGTTTTTTTGAAAAAAAATCATTTTTTATATCAATATGGATCTCTATGGAAAGAGGACGAAAAATCATGAACAATGGTATATTCGAGTTTTTTTTTCGACAAAAAACATGGCCTAAAAAAAAGAAGTGGGTTTTGTTATAATTCGGTGTATAGGGTTGTAAACGAACCAAACGAACACGAACGAAAGTTGTTCATATTCGTTCGTTTAAGTTTAACCGAACAAATGAACGAACACGAACACATAAACAAACGAATTTCCTTGTTCATGTTCGTTCGTTTAAGAAATTACTTTGTTCATGTTCGTTTATGTTCGTTCATTATGGTGATAAACGAACATAAATGAACAAATATAAACAAACGTAAATGAATAGATGTAAACCACTATAAATGAACATTAACAAACAAATATAAAAAAAAAACAAAACCTAAATGAACATAAACAAAGTTAAATAAAGATAAAACACCATTAACACCAAAACATAAATACATGTATTATAACAAATCCTACGATTAAAAACATCCAAAATTACTTAAAATATTGTCTTTTTTTTCAAATATCTTCTGCAAAAAAAACTTTCATAGCTTGACCTTTAACTTCATCACATCAAATATCTTTTCCAAAATGCAAAATTAAAGTTCTTCGCCCTTTATCTACATCACACAGACATTATCTGTAAAGAGATGAATAATAAGTTAATAACTAATAAAGAGATAAGTAAAAAGTTAATAGCTAACTTGCATGAGTTTACCTTGAATATGATCACACTTCATAACTTTTCAAATGGTCACACCTCACGGAAGATCAACGTATATAACATCATCAATTTCCTATAATGCAAGCGAAAAACAAGTAAAGTCCATTGTGAATAACAAGTATTATTATTTAAAAACTAATAATATTACCTTGTTTTTCTTTTTCTGTAGTCCGTAATATTGACGATGCCCAATCAGATCCACATATAAGCATATCTACCATCTTAGTTCCTAAAGAGGAACGGTGTGGATCAATAACCCTTCCACCGGCACTGAAAGCAGATTCAGAAGCAACAGTTGTGACAGGAATCGCCAAAATGTCAGCAGCCATTTTAGATAGAATTTTGAACTTAAGTTTTTTCTCCTTCCACCACCCTAAGGCATCAAAATATGCACCTGGCTCACTAATATAGACCCCTTCTTCCAGGTAAGTGTCTAATTCTGACTTTACACTAGCAATAGAATCAACACTTCTGATATGTTGATTGTATTTAGCAGTACTACTTCTGATACTCTTACCAAATCTCAAATTCGTAACACTTGGACCTCTTTTTGATGCACCACTTTCAGTTCCATCTGCAGCATTCGAAGATTGGACAACATTTGTAGTTCTATGCTCCTCAACATACTCTGCAAACAATTCTTTCAAAGTATCTATAACAAGTTTAACATGCGTAGATGCCTCATCATTAGAGTAGATTGCCTTAAAAGAGAAGTTAAGTAACTCTGTCTTGTATCTAGGGTCCAAAACAGCAGCCATGGAAATCAACAAATTACAAGGACCCCAATATTTGTCAAACTTCTTTTTCATCTTAACAGCCATTGGTTTCATGTAAGCATTCCCATCCAAAACTAATTCATCTAATGATTCCATTATTCCGTATAGCTCTAGAAGAAATAGATTTGATGTAGGATACTCGGAGCCTATGCAAAATCAATAGAAAATAATAAGATTAGTAAAAATATTAGACGATCAGATTACTAACATGGTGAAATGACTAAAAACATATGGTAAATTATACATAAAAACATAATGGGTTATATCTATAATTTCAGACAAACCATCTTGAACTAACAAGTTTAATATATGTGCACAACAACGCACATGAAATAACTTCCCACCAACAACAACTTTCTTTTGAAGATTCAAATTTTCAAGTAACTTCCTAGCAACCACATCATTTGTCTTGGCATTGTCAACCGTCAAACTAGCCACCTTACTTTCAATATTCCAATCTTTTAGACATTTGTATAAACAATCATATATACCAACACCTGAATATGGTGGAGGCACATCAACAAAACTCAAAATACATTTGTGAAGCTTATAATCTGAATCAACAAAGTGACATGTCACAACCATATAATGAATATTTTGACATGATGTCCACATATCGGTTGTGATACTCACACGATTGACAGCATTTAACATTTTTTGAATTCTTTTCTTTCCAATTTCATAACTAGACACACAATCTTGTCTAGTTGCAGCACGTGAGATCTTGTTGAATAGTGGATTAGCTTCTTTCATCACCACATTAAACAAGTCATATTCAACAAAATTAAAAGGTAGCTCATGAATCATAATCATGTGAGAAATAACCTCCCTCATCCTAGTATTGTCAAACTTCCAATTTTGGATCGTAGTTGAAGAATCTGTCTTTCCATGTGAAACCTTTAACTTTGACTGACCTTTGCCACCATTTAATATTAGGCAATCACTAACATGCCTAAGCAATGGTGTGGTCGTCCCTTCCTTAAGCTTCTTAACTTTCTCACCACAGTGAACACATTCAGACCCTTCAGTTCCATCTGTAAATGTTATCGTTTCGAAATGTCCCCAAGCTGGCGAAGTCTTCTTTCTTTTCCGTTTAGCATATGGAGTATGTTCTTTGATATTTGTTTTATTTACTTGTGTTGAACCAGTACCTACAGCCGCATTGGTTCCTCCTGCATTATCTTCTCCTTCGTTGCTTTCAACAACAATAATATCAGGGGAATTTTCCATTCTTGAAGTATCTACACTTGTATCAGATGGTGAGTGTGAGTCTATATATCGATCATCGTCAAATAGACATGGCCCAATAAAAGATACATCAGACATCTGCAATGCAATAAAGCATATATCTTAGCACCAAAATGTTAAAAATAAGTAAGAAACATTTTTATCTTCAAATCAAAATTTATTACCTACTGTAGAGTCCCTGTGTGTAAATACCTGTGCAAGAAGCAAGAGAATAGAGAGCTTTATAAAAAAAATCGATTTTATGAGATATATGAAAGAAATATAGAAAGGCTATATATTACTACTAACCAAAAGAAGTCGTTTTGAGATAAATAGGAAGTAATGCAAATTGCAAAGAGTGAAAACGACGAACCGATTATGAGGATTTGGAGAAGACGGAGTCGGTAGAAGGGCTTAGGGGACCGATTGTTGACTACAAATTGAGAAGATGCGAACTGTAGCTCAGCAGATTGTGATGATTTAACCAATTGTGAAGGTTTGGAGAACACGAGCAAAAAAGAACACCACCAAAAATATAGGGTTTTCTCATGTATTCTTTGGAGCCAAATATTCCACTTCCTGGAAGTAAAATGGAGCCAAATTTCTTGGAGCTAGAGCCAAATATCTTGGAGCCAGAGCCAAAGACGAAATTAAAAGATTTTTAGATTATATCCATAGTTTGAGAATTTACATAAATAAATATTATACAAAAATACAAAACAATATAAATTAATATACGCACAAATTTAGAATGTGTGGTTCTTTAGCCTTATATTTCAATTTTAATATACTTACGGCAAATTAGAACAATTCTAATTAATTTCAGTTTTAATATATATATATATATATATATATATATATATATATATATATATATATATATCCAACCGAACATAAACGAACTTAAGTGAACGAACATAAACGAACGTTCACGAACAACACCAATGTTCATGTTCGTTCGTTTAACTAAACGAACAAATATTTTTGTTCGTGTTCGTTCATTTATTAAATAAACGAACATAAACGAACTTCCCGCCGAACGTATCACGAACGGTTCGTTGAACGTTCAGTTTGTTTACAGCCCTATCGGTGTATGTGCGTCCATTGTAAAAGTCTACAACCCTACCTTTTGTCGTTGATCGCTTTAAATTCCGATACTTTAGATTGATTCATTCGTTCTTTGATTAATAATGGTTCTTTATTTAACTTTTCCCCATATATATATATATATATATATATATATATATATATATATATATATATATATATATATATATAGGGCTAGGTTATTTTGTTTCTTACATTTATTGTGTGCTATAATGCACCAATAGAAATTTAGTAAATTAAATAATTATTTAATTAAATAAATATAGATATTAAATGATTTCCATAATTATATGTATATTAAATGATATCCATAATTATAATTCTCTTTCTATGGAAACTAATTAAATCCGTCATTAATGTCAGCAATAACATTCTTTCAGAATGAATTCGCATCTACGTTTTTATATATGAATTCGTATTTTGTTTCAGGACTCACTCACTTAAAATACAATAAAGTTGCATTGAATATGAAGAACGAGAGTGTATTCTACTGGAATACACTCTCATTCTGCTGGAATACATTCTCATTCTTCTAGTTATGAATTCATTCTGAAAGAATATTATTGTTGACATTAATGACGATTTTAATTAGTTTCCATAAAAATGAGTTATAAGTATGGATAACATTTAATATACATATAGTTAATACTAAATTCCTATTGGTGTATTCTAGCACACAATAGATGTGAGAAACATTTGAACCTACCTATATATATATATATATATATATAGAGAGAGAGAGAGAGAGAGTCAGGTTCTTTTGAAAACCAAAAGATTTGTGAGAACTTGCGAACTCATAATCAACAACAAAACATCAATCTTCTCTGAATGGTGCGTCTAAGCCATATCTAGGCTCAAAAAAAGATTGACGATTTTTTTTTGGGTTTTTTGTATGACTGTTGTTGAGCACAGTCAACTGTTGTACAGACTGTTGATGAGCACAATTGGCAGTCATATGGACTGCTGATTGCTCATCAGCAGTCCATATGGCTGCTGATTGTGCACATCCACAATCCATATGACTGCTGATTGTGCTCATCAGCAGTCCGTACAACTGCTAATTGTGCATACATGCAAATTTCAAAAATAAATAAAAAAAATTGTCAAATCTTTTTTTAGCATAAATATGGCTTAGATGCACAATTTGAATAAGATTTGATGTTTTTGGTGTTGAAAAATGATGAGTTGATTATGAGTTCGCAAGTTCACATGTTTTTTTCGGTTCGCACAATAACTCAGACCTATATATATATATATACATACATACACACACACACACACACACATATATATATATATATATATATATATATATATATATATATATATATATATATATATATATATATATATATATATATATAGGGTTGAGTTATTGTGTGAACCGAATAAAACGTTTGAACTTGCGAACTCATAATCAACTCATCATTTTTCAACACCAAAAACACTAATCTTCTCCAAATGGTGTGTCTAAGCCATATCCAGGCTCAAAAAAATTTGACAATTTTTTTATTACTTTTGAAATTTGCATGTATACACAATCAACAGTTGTACGGACTGCTGATGGGCACAATCAGCAATCATATGGACTATAGATGTGCACAATCAACAGTCATATGGACTGATGATGAGCAATTCGCAGTCCATATGACTGCTGATTGTGCTCATCAGTAGTCTGTACAACTGTTAATTGTGCTCATCAGCAGTCATACAAAAAAATCGGAAAAAAAATCTCCAAATGTTTTTTTGAGCCTAGATATGGCTTAGACACACCATTTGGAGAAGATTGGTGTTTTTGGTGTTGAAAAATAATGAGTTGATTATGAGTTCGCAAGTTCTCACAAATCTTTAGGTTCTCAAAAGAACTTGGCTATATATATATATATATATATATATATATATAGGTAAAGGTTCAAATGAGAACCAAAAAAGATTAAGAACCCGTAAGAACCACTTTTTTTTTTGACAAATTAAACTTAAAACCCATTATTATGTATCAGATGTCAAACACTCAACCCTCAAACTCTTTCAAACTCTCTCACCAAACTTGAAGAACAGACCAAACTTACCACCACCGCACCACCGTTGTTGCCGCCTCATACCACCGGCCAACCACTTCCATCAGATATGTATGCTCCAAACGATTCCAGATCTACATTTTCAGTTTCAGATCCACGATTACCGCCATTAGATCTATGATTTTCTGTTCCAGATCTACAAGTTCCGACAAGCAACGAAGATCCACCACTATCGTTAACGATCGTCACCGCTGTTATCGGCATCCTCTGATCTCCGGTGAAACACCATCAGATGTGCCGTCACCTTCTATTTCTCTCGCCTCTTTCTCATCCTCTCTGATATTTGGTGAAAAACTACTAGATCTGATGCAGATCTGATGTGTTTCAGGTTACATCTGATGTGTTTCAGGTTACATCTCAAGTGAAACGTTACCTTCTACGTCGCATCAGAGCTTACTCACACGAGATCTGTCACACCCCAAAACTGGAACGGCGGAAACGTTCGGGGGCGGAGGACGTCATGTTTAGTATCACAAGTCATGCATCATAGTAATCAGAGTAATAAACAACCATTTCATTAGAAAGAAAGTGTTTACAAAGTATGTGGTTCACATAACATTAACTACAAAGTAAATAACAAAACAAGACATGAAGCTATACTGCTCCATCTTCTGAATCCCAGAGCGCGTACCTGTCTACTGGTCTCCTGAGAACACAAGTTATTTTGAAAGCGTAGATCAGCATTTAAGCTGGTGAGTTCATAAGATTTTAGTGATGTAAGTAAGTTGTAAGAAAGTTGTAGTAAGTTGTAAGTTCTTTTAGAAAAGTTCGCCTGTTCCTCCAGAAAATCCCATATTTTCTGCTTTGATGAAAGATAAGTAAAAATGACTCTACAATCCTTTCTATGAGTATTAAATGGATACAAGTTATATAAAAAACCCAGAGTAAACAAACAATCGGTTGTGTGTATCTACCCTAAGCCCACAACCAAACAAGGAACAGGAAATGAGGTGGAAGGAACACATCCCATTGTTTGTTAGATCATCGGTGTATATAACCCTGGCGTATTCACTTGGTACTCATGGAGTTAACTATAATAGTTCCTTTATATTTGATGAAAACATTCTTTAAGAAAACACTTATTTCTTTTAGTAAAAATGGTAACCATAATGGTTCCTTCTATAATCACTTAGTTTATACTAGCTATATATAATCTAATATCGAATACATAGTTAATTGTGTGAATCTGCCCTTAGCCCACAACCAAACAAGGAACAGGAAATGAGGCGGAAAGCACACATCCAACTACCTATCGGGTATTAATTATATATAACCCTGATGTATAAACTAAGGTATTATAGAATTAACCACCTAAGGTCCTTTAAGTTATACTGGTTTAATAAAATGGATTAAACCCTTTACTGGTAAGTTTCTAGTTTTGTATACCAAATGTTCTATTTGAAAAGTATGTTTTGTACTAGAAAACGGTGCATTGAATTAGTGTCCTATGACCTGACCCATACCTGGTACCCCTTATTATTACTTGGTGTATACGGAACATATATATAGCTAAGATCGAATAGATAGTATGCTGGGTGAATCTACTCTAAGCCCACAACCAAACAAGGAACAAGAAATGAAGCGGAAAGCACACATCCTACTACCTGTCGGATCCGATTAATATATATTCCTGATGTATAAACTAAGGAATCATATAGTTAGCATTATAGGCCTCTTTCTACTGGATGTACTAGACTCGACTGTTCTGTTTGTCACTTGAAAAGATGTAAGTTTTCCCTAGTTTATAACTATCTTAACTCGAAAATAGTTTGCATTAACTTTCAAGTGGAACTGTCACAATATGAAAGTAATGGGAAAATGTAAGTACACAGTTGTCTTTTGAATTGACATCCTGAAGTACTGATTACCTTAAAACAAGTTTGTTTTATTAAGGTCATAATGTGATGTGGTTGTACCCATACTATACGCTCTCCCTGCAAGAGATTCTGCTTACAAAACGCGTCTTCAGCAAACAAATTGCTAAGCCGTGAAATAGTCTCACATTAAAGTTATAGTAGTTTTGTATACCCAATTTATTATCACGTTTTGTTTAGAGCAATGAGTTAGTGATTATTGGTATATTTTGTTAATCATGATTTGTTCTTCTTCTATAGTATCTTAGTATGTTCTTTCTGTTATTGTATCTTAGTATGTTCTTTCTGTTATCGTGTATTGTATCTTCCTCCCTGTTTCTCTTTATAGTATGTTCTTTATGTTATCGTGTATTGTATCGACCTCCCTGTTTCTCTTTATAGTATGTTCTAGTATCTAGTATGAACTGAACCTTAAACTATACCTATTATAGTTTACTAGTATGTTTACTTGAACTGTTACTGAAAAAGACTCATTTATCTACTAAGTTATGATTATACTTTAAACACGGAGTTTTATAAACTATAAAGTAACATAACTTAAAAAGAGTTTTTGAAATGTTTTGATCACTTATAAAAACATAAGCAATCCTTTGAAATATGTTTATAACAAACATTTACACAATTATCATTGTGTTCAACTTGTATTCCCCCCCCCCCCTCCTTAAAAGCATTTAAAACAGTTTAAAAGATTGATTATAGGGGTATGAACTCACCTTATGTGGGTGATTCAAACGAATATGCGCGTAAGGATGAAAAGTTCCACGAATGAATTCCTGAGACACAAACGAGTCCTAATGACATATAATGACATATATTGGCATGAATTTAGTGTTTAAAGCAACTAACATGCAAGGAAACACCCTTAGGGACCAGGAAACACTTGGACCAAGTGTTAGAATCACATGTGATTGATCAAAGGGGAGTGTACGGCCACAATAGGGAGTGTACGGACTTGATGTTTACGGCCAGGAGTTTACGGCCATGTTGTTTACGGTCTAGGGTGTTTACGGCCAAGGGGTTTACGGCCACGGGAGTTTACGGTCATAAAATTCTGGAGATCACTCTCAAATCGTTTGTTCCAGGTGTTGAGGCTAATGATTCTACTAGGTAGCAAGTGTATGAAAGGAATACTCACGATTTTGAAGCCTTAAAAGGGGTTTTCGGCCACCAAGAACAAGTGTGTGTTCTTGGTGTTCTTGGTGAAAGTTGATGATCTTGAAGATCTAACCAAAAGAGGTGATTTTATAGATGGAATCAAAGGGTGATTCATGATTAAGAAGAATAACAACAACTAGATGGAAGAATCACTTACGTTTCTGAAGATCGGGGATGAAGAACTCGATGATACTTGAGAGAGAATGGAAGTTTGCGGCTAGGACTTGAAGAAATGAAGAAAAAATGAAGTAAACTCTCATATAAGGAGGATAGTTTACGGCCACCAAGAGTTTACGGCCGTAAACTCCTAGTTTGCGGCCGTAAACTCCTTCTCATGGAGCTTCCGGCTCGATTTCAACTTGATGAACTTAAGTTGATACAACCCTACACCCAATCCTTAAGTGTACTAGGCTTAGAACCCTTAAACAGACTCTAAACAATGCTAACTGATAGCGGAAACGGGTCTGACACTCGGTTGAATTGAATGGCTGGACTTACGAGGCAAAAAATTTCGGGTTGTCATAGCCAACTTGTCTCCATCTTTTGCTCTCTGATCTCTGGTGAAACACCACCAAGTATGTCAATTTTTATGTTGATTATTTTTCCTTTTGTTAAACTGTGAATTTGATGTTTTAATCTATTTTTTATTGTTTACTTTTCTTAATATTAGTTTTAACTACTATTAAGTTGTGAAAGTTGTGAATCCAATGTTATTAATACGCGGATCCAAGTTTATGTTCTTATTTGTTATGATACTTGCATAGATTTTCGTTTCATAACTTAGGTTTTTTAGTTGTTATGTTGTGAATTGAATTTAAAATGTGTTATAATGTTAATGTTTTCACAAATAATGTGAATGTAGGTTTTTTAAGTTGTAAATTGTGATGTTTAAATGTTTTTATTAATTTTTTAGTCATGTTAATATTAGTTTTAAATGTTATGAATAAGAAAATGTTAGTTTTATGTTGTGAATACATGATTTGTTACAAGTTTAAGTTGTGAATATATGATTTTTATAAGTTTTAAGCTGTGAATGCATGTTTTATATTTATTTTTCTACTTACATCTATTATAGATCTCTACGGTGTATTTTTTTTATCGTTTTTGTTCTTCTGTTAAGGTGTGAATTTAATGTTTTAATCTCTCATTTGTTTTTTTTATAATCATAGTGTTAACTTCTATTAAGATGTGAATTTTCTGTTTAAATTGTGAATTGACTATATAAGATGTGAAATTTGTGTATTAAAATGTTCGTTCATTGTATTAAACTGTAAATTGTGTGTATTAAACTGTGAATTAATTGTATTAAGAGTGTTAAGTTGATCATATGGTTGTGAATGCATACTTTTTGTAAATTAAACTGAGATTTATTGTACTAAGCTATGAACTTTGTATATTAAGATGTGATTTTTGTGTTTTAAATTGTGAATTGACTGCATTAAGCTGCGATTTTTTTTGTTTAAACTAAGAATTGACTGTATTAAGTTATGAATTTTTTGTATTAAACTGTGATTTTGTGTTTTAAACTATGAATTGAATGCATTAAGCTGTTAATTTTCTATATTAAACTGTGAATTTTTTATATTAAACTGTGATTTTAGTGTTTAAAAATGTTAATTGACTGCATTAAACTATGGATTTTCTGTTTAAATTGTGAATTGACTGCATTTTGCTGTGAATTTTTTTATGTTAAAATATGAATGATTTATGTATAAATTTTTGTGTTAATTTTCTTATGAATATATTTATTTTTTTGTTGTATAAATTTGTAAGAATCCACAAGTTTTTATAATTGTTTTGCATTAAATTCAAAATGAGTGAATTAATAAGCTTTATTAGACTGTGAATGTACTATTTAAGTTGTTAATGCATGACTTTTTCTACAGATCTGATTTGAAAGAAATGACGGCTACTATGTTGATACAGGTGGTTGGTGGTGGCATGTGGTGGTAGAGTTTGAGTTTTTGACTTCTTTGAATTAGTGAATTACTGTAAAACAGTTTGTATTAAGTTGTGAATTTTTTGCATTAAACTGTAAATGAACTGTGTAAATCTGTATGTAATATAAGTTTTGTGTTAACATATGAGAGGGATGAAAATATTAGATTGTAAAAATTATAAGTTTGCTCTTTTCATACCAAAAACACAAAAAAATTAGGATTTTAACATGTTTAA